ATAGAGAAGTTCAGTTGGAACATTTGCAAGCAACACCTGCTAAGTTAGATGATCTCAAAGCTAATGTACAAGATCCCTTAGAGGAGTTTAACTTAGGGGATGAAGCTTGTAAGAGACCCATTTTTGTCAATGCAAAGTTATCTAATAAACGCAAGGAAAGGCAAGTTAGCCTTCTTTCTAATTATATGGTTTTTTTTGCATGGAATTATGATGAAATACCTACTTAGACAGATCATTAATTGCGCATAAGCTCCCAACACGAAGCAATTATGTTTCTCATAAGCAATCTCCAAGAAGGATGACTAACGAGGTAGTGTTATTGGTTAAAGAAGAAATTGAAAGGTTGCTTAAAGCAGGGTTCATAAGGACTGCTAGGTATGTTAAGTGGCTATCAAATGTGGTTCCAGTCATGAAAAAGAATGGCAAATTAAGAGTTTGCATAGATTTTAGGAACTTGAATACTACAACTCTCAAAGATGAATACCCAATGTCTGTGGTTAATCTATTGGCTGATTCAGCAGCCAAACATGAAATCTTATCTTTCGTGGATGGACATGCTAGGTATAATCAGATATTTATCAGCTCAGAAGACACCTACAAAATAGTTTTCAGGTGTCTTGGGGTTTTAGACACTTTTGAGTGGGTTGTTATACCATTTAGCCAAAAAATGCAAGTGTTACCTATCAGAGGGCCGTGAATTTAATCTTTCATGATTTGATTAGAAAATTTTTAGAAGTCTATATAGATGATGTGCCATCAAGTCAAAAAGTTTTGACGAACATTTAGACCACTTTCGATAGACCTTTCAAATGATGAGGTCTTATAGTTAAAAATGAACCGATTAAAATGTGTATTTGGCGTTTCTGTTGGAAACTTTTTAGGTTTGCTAGTTCGCCAAGAAGGTATTGAGGTAGATGCAAATAAGGCCAAAGCTGTACTAGCAGCACTACTACCAGCCAACAAGAAAAAAATACAGAGCTTTCTAGGAAAGGTGAACTTCCTAAGAAGGTTCATAGCTAACTTGGCTGGGAAAACTCTAGTTTTTTCACCTCTGGTAAAGGCCAGAGCAGATATGGATTTTAACTGGGGGAAGCCTCAGCAAGAGGCTTTTGATTGAATGAAGAAATACTTAATGAATCCACCAGTGCCGATGCCTCCCATCAAGGAGAAGCCACTAAAGCTTTACATTTTAACATGTGAAGGGTCCATTGGGTGCCTATTAGCTCAAGATAATAAGAATGGCCATGAGCAAGCCATCTATTATCTTAGCAAAAGATTAAATGATGCAGAAACTAGATATAGTTCAGTGGAAAAAACTGTGTTTGGCTTTATATTTTGCTACCATCAAACTAAGGCATTACATGTTACCTTCAGAAGTATGTGTAGTAGCACAGACTGATGTAATTAAATACATGCTGTTTAAACCTATTGAGAGGGTGATTTATGCTCCGGTGTTGGGCCGAGGTATAGACCGAGCAAGTTGAGGGCCCAGCAGAGCATTGGGCCGAGATGATCTGTTAAAAGCCAAGCCTAGGCTGATTTCTTGGCTGAGCACCCTGGTTATTCTATCGATGAGGATTTATTTGAGGTAAATTATGCAGAAAATGCCCCTTGGCAGCTAATGTTTGACTGCTTTAAAACAGAAGAAGGTATTGGAGCTAGTGTTATGTTGGTAGCACCCAATGGCCAAGTTCATCAGTTTTCATACCAACTAGGCGAACAGTTTATTACATCTAATAATCAAGCTAAGTATGAAGCCTTGATTATAGGTCTAGAACTGGCCATAGGTAGGAAGGCCAGTAAGATGCATAATATCAAGGATAGTGAGAGAGGCCATACCAGATTTGAGCATCATGGAATTACAAGATGTGAACCAAAAACATATGGCTGCGCTGATCCGCTAGGGGTCTATCTCAAATGAGATGGTAGACAGTTGAATGGCATGGTAAATGCCCAAATTGTGCCACATGTCCCTTTTAAAAGTGGTCATCCTCTTTACCCAAGCTATCTAGGCGTTAGTTGGTTTGGACCATGATCTAGGGCCCGTCGACTAGTTTAGCCATGAAAGTGAAGATTGGTCTAGAAAAAAAGTCTCACCATCAGCAATGGGATAGCATGGAGTCAGACCATCTGGAAAAGTGCTTAAAACACATAGGCCAAGTTCCCTAGCACCGGCAGTAAGGTTGGTCGTGATTTGGGAATCAAACTTGTTGCTTTCGATAAGTTGGATGATCTCTTGTGGGAATCGACGAACTTGGTCGGAATTTGAGTCAGAAGACATAACTAAGGAAGTTAGGGTTTCTTGGTTTCAAAAGAAGAAGAAAAGTTTTTGCAAGAAGAAAACGAAAAAGGAGAATTTGAAAAACTCTAAATACCTCTGCATGGGGCCCAAATAAGAAATAATAAAATGGAGAAAGGGGCTTAATAATGATGGGCCCGTGAATTATTAAGTGGCCCAAAGAAGTTAAAAAACATTGGGCCCAGAAGTAAACATAATTCCAGACTAAAATTATTCAAGGCAAAAGATTTTTTACCTTGAATGAAGGGGGTATTGTTGATACTAAACTTTAGGAATCTTCTATCAATGGGACATAACGATGACATGGCAAGGATGACGTGGCAAGATTGGCTAAAATAGTTGATGTGGCATAAGTTTGGGTTGAAGAAAGAAGGATACGAAAGATGATAGCAGAGAATCAAGGGAGAAATCAAAAAACAGTTCCTAAAATGTGGGGATAAACATGATGAGAGGCAAAGAATCAAGGGAGATCAGAACCAAGAGTCAAGTATAAAAGGGAGCTGGAATGTAGAAGAAGGATCATCAACAGCCATTAATCACACTCGTGAAGAATTATTTAAGAGTAGTTCTAAATTAGCCATTTTAGGAGTAGATTAGAAATAGTTTTTTCAACCCGCACTTCTCTTCTTTCTGTCAATTGATGTATTTTTTAGTTCTTTGTTTTTGTTTAAGCTTTTATAACTGATAGCAAGTGACAATTTAATTGAATAAATACATTTTTTTTTATTCAAATCCATCTTTACTTAATTACCTCCAGGGAAGTCCTTAATCTATTTAAGATATAGAATTCAACCACAAAATCTAATTTTTTTTGTGTTTGTTAAAATTGATTGAAATTTTTCGAGTAATTATTGTCAATGAGATTTAAACTGAATTTTTGTTAACAAGACTCAAGCTAATTGGTGTTAATTTTGATAATTCCTTAAATTTACATTTTAATTGATTTCATTTTAAAGAAAATTTGTCTTTCACGATAATAGAAATGAATTTGAACATGTACTATTCTGGGACCCACATCTCTAAGTCGAAGTAATTGATTGACACATTTTATGAATTGGGTCAATTTTTGTCTTTAAGATGTCTATATTTTGAAATGGACTTAAATTTTTTAATTCAGTGACTCACATTTCTTATACATTTCAACTTCGAATATTTAATTTATACGGATTAAATGGTGATCAAACACCATGAATTTGTCTACAAACATTTTTTTTTATTAAAAAAAAAAAATGAATTGTCTAAAAAAAAAAATTACATAAACAACATACAAGATGATTTTTTTTTTTGGATAAAGCTTGGGAGTTCGAATGCGCTCCCCCGAATCCCCTGAAAATGGAAACAGAGAGAAAAGACGTGGAAAAGAGGGTGAAGGCAAGAGAGAGAAAGAGAGAGAGAGAGGGAGAAAGAGAGAGGAGAAGAGAGAGGGAAACAAAGAGAGAGAGAGGGAGAGAAGCTCGGCCGTCGCAGCAGGTCGGCCGATCGTCGCAGCTCAGCCTTCGCCTCGCTTCTGCCCCTAGTTTATGTCCCCTCCTGTCCAGTTCTCCTTTCTCCCTTTCCTTCTTCTTCTTCTTCTTCGTTTCTGATTCAAAAAAAAAAACAAAAAACAAAAAAAATAAAAACAACGTCGTTTTTACCTTTAGGGAGATTTAGAAGAATCATTTTCGAGCGAACTAGTATTATCCTCTTTTTTTTTTTTTAAAAAAAACAAAGGACATGCATTTAGTACATATGGCCACTTGCAATGTACGAATACAAGATATAGCTATGGAAAGGACTAATCTCATTTAAAACTTTCTATGTCATATGTCATTTCATCAACTTTTTTGATTATCTTTCATCAACTTGAAAGAGATGGTTCTCTAACTAGGCCAAATTGCCAACTGGCTAAGCTAGAAAATACAGTAAAACATAAATTTTAAGTTTACTTAAAAGTGATATAAATTCAAATTTAATGAGTTCTGGGCAATGCTTATAATTAACTTGTGTACATAATTTAAATTTTGAATAATTTTTTTTAGTATTTTTTTCAAGGCATGTAATATTTTTTTGTCTAATGTAACTCTAGATTATGCTTAGATCTTAAATTTGGGTGTAATTTTGTAGAAAAAAATGGGAAAAAAAGAAGAAGAAAAACAAATGAATTATATATTTTTACAAATTCAAGATTTAAACACCATGTTTCACCTTGTACTTGGGTTCAGATAACAAATGCCAATATATGTCAATATGTACATAGGGCCTACCATGTCCAAAATATAATTCACAATTATTTTTAGATATAATATGGAAAAAAAAAGAAAGAAAGTAAAAGATAATTATTCCTTATATTTCATTATAATTAGACCATTTTTCAAGAAATTAACAGTAAAATTATGATGTAAATTACATGTTCAAACATTACAATAAATCTGATTGGGCAATATCAACTTCATCTTGATGAGAGCTCTCAAACCATTTTTAGCTAAAAAATTGCAAGTTAATATTGAATAAAGTAATGCCTATATTTAAAAAGATAAAAAGGCACTCTTTTAGAAACATTAGTAATAAATTTGTATAGTATAGGCAACACTACATTGAAAGAAGAAAAAAAAAACTCAAAGTATCCTCATAATCCACTGCAAATAATAGGGATCCAATCACAAAATTTCTTGAGAAACTGAAACAACTTGAGAACAACACGACCAGACTTCAATCCAAAAGGTTAACAAACCAAAATGAAAATTTTCCAATAATCATCCAAAAGCCCAGTACGGAGGATATGATTCTTAATTACGATTCAAAAGGTGAATCCTACTAAGATTCTCTGCCACAATTCTCAATCTTGCAAGAAATGAAATGGGTACTGGGAATATTTTCTGAAATGTCTATTTAATCTATTAATTGAAACATATTTAAAACAAAGAGTCAGAAACACAAAAACAGTGTATCTTCTCTGGGGCTTCTAATACTAGAAATTAACATAACAAAAAACGCACCACAATCAGCTTCAGACAGGTGCGCTTAAGCGTCTAGGAATTTAAAAAATGCTGATCTGGCGATGAAGAAACAACATGATCCTCATCGGTCATGGTGGTTATCATACCATCAGCATGCCACTTCGAAAAACCGTCCTCAAGAGCCTCTCGCATCCATGGATGCCGGCAACGCTCAATGGCTTCGGGAATCGTTAGCCATGTTCTTTGCCGAGTGCTTTGCTCAGGCCAAGATTGAAGCTCCTCCTTCACAAGCAGAGCGAACATGGAAGCTTTACACAAACCTTCAGGACTGAACTCATCTTGGAGCGTCTTACTTTTGAATTTGTAATACCCCAAGAAATGCTGAAACACATAACAGTTTCCATTTCAATCAAATAATATAGTTCAGCAAAAATTACATCACCATGGACCACAGGCCATGGGAATCATAATTAACTCAACCAAATATTTATGGGAGATAGTTTGGTAATATGTGCAGACACATCTACAGAGTAAGCATGTTGTGTCCGACAACAACAATCTTCTGACACTCTTAAAAGCTCGTTCAACACTTCTTCAACATGTCTTAAATAAAATCAAATTCATAATATTTGATACTTTGTGGACACTTAACCAACACTTCTTGAACCTTCCGCATGTCTTATGTGATGAATCCCATCATAACAACAATTTTTGCATTTTCAAAACACACACAACTTATGTACTAAATATGTTTAAAACATTTATAACATGAATATATCACATGTATTATATTTTTCTATTATTTTTTATTCTTTAGAATGTATATATTACATGAATGATATTTTGACATTCAACTTACAAAATTTATAGCTTTTAAATACAATTAGTGTATGTTACATATTTCAATGATATTTGAATAAATTATTCATTTATATTACATATAATAAATCAAACCAAGCCTTAAGTCTCATAAAATGAGATCGGCTATACATGAATTCTTCTTCTCCACGCTGCTCTATCAAAGACTATTTCGTTTGTCAAATTAAGTGAATTCATATCTCTATTTACTACACTAGCCAGCGTCAATCTAGGTCTACCTCGTCTCCTAACACTATCATCTACCGTTACCGCATCGCATCTATTCACTATTGCTTTTGTTGGTCTCCGTTGACTATGCCCAAACCATCTCAATATATTCTCTCTAAACTTACCTTCTATCGGTACTACTCCTATCCATTCCTGAATATACTCATTCCTAATTCTGTCTTTTCTAATCTTGCCACACATCTACCATAGCATACTCATCTCAGCAACACTCATCATACCTACATATAATAAATTTGTAAAAATATAAAATTTTAACATATCTCATTGTCCCAAGCATGTCGCGTCTTGCATTTTTTGAGAATCAACGCGTCAGCATATCTGTGTCATATTCGTATCTATGCTTACTTATTGGGCTTTTAAGCAAGGGTATTGATTAATTATTGTACAGTATAAAATTCTAATGTAACCTATGGCACAAGCAAGAAGAAATTGAAAGAGACTATTCAACCTCTTACCAGTAAATCACCTCGAACTCCAGCTTCTTCTAAAGCTTCACGTAGTGCTGCCTCCTCAACAGTTTCATCATTTTCCCAACCTCCCTATAATGAAGCATTTTGATAAACAAATAAAAAGTAAATTCATTAATCTAAAATGGGATTCTTGACTAGAATTTTATGATCCTTCTAGCGAACAAATAAGAAAAAAAATGATTAGAATGTGTGTAACCAACCAAGCACTACTACACCTATTTAACATTTTGCTACATGTTATGTATTTTCTAATGATGCCAAATTTGTCTTAGGAGTTAGAATGGAAAAGCACAAGGAAAAATAATTAGAAATTTTCTTGGTAAACAAAACATATATAACACATATATTAGGTGTTAAGAAGCATAGATCCTTCCAAGAAGGTAACGTATCTATGTCGTGTCCATGTTGGACACCGACACTCTTTGGACACTTTTCCGACAAGTGTCCGACACTCTTTAAAACATGTCCTATTTTTTAAGTTTTTTTAAAGACCCCGAATACTCTTTAGACATTTGGAGGATACACGTGTCTATCGTTTAAACACACTTGTCTACCGATTAGACACAGGTGAAACTAACTATAAATTTGAATAAAATAACTTACGATACAATAATAAAACAAAAACCATATAAATTTTTAAGAATTAGTGTCACATCGTATTTTTTATTATTTTCAAATAATATATTCATATATATAACATATAATAAATATATAAAATTATTTATTTCATGAGTGTCTCCCACGTGTCGTGTCCTGCATTTATTAAAAATTAGCGTATCGGCGTGTCCATGTCGTATCCATGTCATCTTGCACGTCCTTGTCCATGCTTCTTAGATATATAAATATATTTTATATGCAGTCAATGAGTGTTTTTATTCTGTAAGCTCCTAGGTACAAGTGTACGTATTACTAACAAAAAGAAAAAATAACAAACTCAGACAATATCCTAAGTTTCCCAACAATATCAACCCTTCTTTTCTTTATATAAAAACGTAGTTCAAAATTGTCTATCGTTCTGGTATTGCATTAGAAAAAGGCAAAATAGAAAGGTTAATAGAAAGTGCAACACTAAATCTTAAGCTTCGGTTATTGCCCCTGGTATATTTGTTTACCTAAAAATCTAATATTGCTATAAGAGTGCTTTCTCTCAATTCATCATGCAACTCCGTAAAGAGTGTCTTGCACTCCAAGATCTTCCCCCAATTTGGTAACAAGTCAAGAAGATTTCAAGTTTTCCATGAGCATTAATTGTGTCTAGATGCGTGAAGAAAAGCTTCCTGAGTGTAATTTGATATATTCAATCAAATTAAAGCAAAATCTCTATAAAGTCCACATATGATTTATGTGAAAGACTTTCAAGCAATCAATAGCAATCTGTTAGTGCCCTGTCCATAGACAATACAAAAAAATTAAAAATAAAAAAATAGTTAATTAAGATCCAAGGGTGACAAGAACTAGAAAAAGAAATTGATAATTGTGTCCAATGGAAATGATAACCATTAACTACCATAGACAGTGAAGTATAAGTCGGGCCCAAGGGTTTCAGGATTAAATTTTAAATGAAATATTATGTCCAATGATCATGTAAGTGATGACAAACATGAAAGTTAACTGGCATTAAACTAGAAATTATATGTACAATTGTCAGATTCGTACCTTTGGAAAGAGAAGACCTGGCCCACTAGCTGAGTTGATCATAAGTACCTCAACAACCTTCTCAGATGTATCACCATTAGTTTCACAGGAATTTATGTACTTAAAAGGAATACACCTGTCAAAAACTATGCTGATCAGAATACAGAGGTTATATTTGAAATATGTGCATTATTAAACAATTACAATCAGCCAGATCTTGGGCTGCCACCTATATACAAGTGAGTGCAAGAAAGGACTTAAAAAAAAAAAAAAGCTATACATCTCTTAGCTCCATGGTAGCAACAAAATTCAACAAATAACACCCAACTACACAATATGGCCCAAAAAAAATGCTCTTCAATTTACTAGTTGCAGCTTCACTGCCTTCAAAAGATCTATGAGTCCTTTCACCCCAAATGATCCACAACAAACACAGCAGAGTAAAAACCTAAGTTTTCTGCCTCTTCATCCCCACTCCTTCCCCTCCAATTGTGAAGAACATCTGCCAAACTTCTAGAGAAAATCGAACCCATCCCAAAAAGAGTCAAAACCAAATGTCACAATTCCTTAACAAACATGACAATCAATAAGATGATGACATACAAATTCTCCATCTTGCTTACAAATATGACACTGATTAAGATGCCATGCGGGAAGGAAAACACACACACCCCTCTTAGAGTGTGTGCTTTGAGACTCAAGTACTCTCCCACGAGAAATGAACCTTCAGTTGCCCTACTAAGGTTTCATAGAAGAACATAACATCAAAAGGACATATGAGATAACATGCACCTTAAGGTATCCTCTCACTCCCATATATTCACCATTTTGTAATTCTTGTAAAAAATTAGGGCCAGTTTGGTTTAGTTTTAGAATAATGATTTAAGTGTAGAGTTATGTTTTAAGTTTTGAGTTTTTGAATCATGATTTGAAAAGAGAAACTTTGTTTGGTTATGAATTTTGAAAATAGTTTTGAGATGATTTATAATTTATTTATTTTTTGATTGATTGATTGATGTATAAAATGTGAACGGAGAGAGAAGAGATGAGAGAGAAAAAGTGATTGATTGATTGATTAGTAACAATAATAATAAAAAAAAAGAAAAGCGTGGAGTTTTGAAAGTAATTTTGAGTTGTATTTTAAAAATATGTTTGGTTAACATGTTTCATCCAAATCATGATTTTAAAATAGAGTTGAGTTTTGAAAAGTAAACCAAACGCTACCTTTCATTTTCCAATCTTGTAAATTCTTGCAAAATGAGATTCCCTTGGAAACTTGATTCCCTCCCTTCCTAAAATAATCCACCATAACCGCCTCCTTATCCACCACAACTCTATAAAGGGTTGAGCAAGCCATCTTTAGAGCATGCTCCCTACACCAAACAAGATGCCAAAATTTAACCCTCCCCACCACACAACAAATCAAGAGTTATTCAAGAAAATGTCCAGCCATTTCAGATCCCCTTCCATAAGATAAGTAACCTTCACAAAAATCCAATCCCGTTATGGGCCATTGTTCTTTGAATGCAACTGTTAGTGCTACCACTTGCATATGTTGGCAATTCATGACTTGTATGTATCCTTAAGTACAAACCTAAAACACTGTCGCGCGAAATCATATTGGTAAATTTAAAACCCTTGGAAAGCCTTGAAGGTTCATGTGAGAGTGCAAGGAGAAAATTCATGAAACATGAAGATTGTTTTCAAAAAGACACAAACCAAGAAAACCAAGAAGAGGGCTTAAAAGTTCAACTCAGGTTACCTGGTCGACCAACATTGGAGGTTAGTCATTTAAAAAAAAAAAAAAAAAAAAAAACATTGGAGGTTGGTCAACCAAGCCCGGTGTTTGGACAGTTGGCTGGCCAACCAAATATGATGATCAACCAAAGCAAGTCCAGAGAGCTATCATTTTTAGGAACCTATATTGGTCAACCAATATACACAGGCCCAACTCCTATCATGGTCAACCAAACTTTGACGTATTTTTTTTTTATAAAAAAAAAAGGCTTTTAAACTAGCCATTGGAGGCACAGCTATTTAAACCCCATCACCCCATTTAGGGGTTTCTTGATTAGAGAAGACTAGTTGATTGACTATACACCTTTAATAACCTCAAAATCACAGTTATAAGAGTGCTCCCACCTTTGTGAGTGAATGTAGCCTTCAATCTTCAACATAAGTCTTCCAAAAGCACCACACTTGTCTCATTTAAAGACATCTTTGGGCTTAAAGGGTTTTAATACCCTTCTCTCAAGCCCAAATTCTAGATTTGTTATATCTAGTGGAGACTCAGATTTGTGGCATTGTAGTTGATGTCTTGGGTGAGCCAATTGGAAAACCCACTGTTGTGTTTGCATGGCAAAGGTTACGGGTCGAACCTATTCAAAACTCTTGAAGAGTTGTTGTAAGGTTTTACGTAAATCTAGTAAAAACCCCTTTTGTGTTTGTATGGCAACGGTTAAGGGTCGAACCTATTGAAAACTGTTGAAGAGTTGTTACAGTAAAGGTTTTACGTAAATCTAGTAAAAACCCCTTTTGTGTTTAGCAGATTGAAATTCGGCAAGGACGGCCTAGAGTGGACCTAGGGAAGTGGATGAAACATTATAAAATCTTGATGTTCATGTCTTTGCATTTAAGCTTTTAAGATGATATATTGAATGAGCTTATGTTTTGAGTCTTTTTTATTATAAAATTGGTAAAAGTGAGTGCTCTCAATAGAATTTTAGATTAGTTATTGCAACCCATCATAGACTTAAAGAGTGACCATATAAGATGAAGTGGTTGAGACAAGCAATTCAACAAACTAATCCACTTGACCTAGGTTGAGGTAAAAAACTTAAATTGGATGGACAATGAGCTACCCAACCTTACACTTAAGTAGATAAGAGTATTGAAACATTCGAAGTGTGACTTAAGTGTATAATTATCAAAGGCTAATCATAAGACTTACAGAGCTTGAGTAGGAAAAGGGAAACAATAAGTTCGTAAAAATAAATAAATAAATAAATAAAACCATTGTAGGACAATTACAGCACCACCTCTAATGCGTTTCCCACTTGCAATTGCAAGACACAATGCCATAGCCATCCCTCCAACAATGCTTGGTTAAAAATCTCCAATTTCCAAAATCCAAGTACCCAAACCTCTCTCTCTCAGAGGAGTGCAAACCATAACCCAGTCCACTAAATGATGCACTTCAACTACTCCCCCAACTTTTCCCCAAAGAAAATCGCTTTGTACGCAAATGAAGGAATTGTAAATAAAGACATGAAATAACTAAACAAACTCCAGAGGCACCCCACTTTGGATAAATATCCATCCAATATTTTCTAAAATCTCTTCACAACCAAATCAATCCTACACTGATCTAGCTTTGAACAAGGAACCCAAAGGTAAGCCCAAATAACATGATGGGAGAACTCTCACCCTACAACCAACGATAGGATCAAGACTTTCAACATCAGCCACCCTCCCCAATAAGGATAATTCTCAAATTTACCAAAATTCAGTTTTAACCCTAATATCACCTCAAGAAGATTTGGGGTGTGTAATGAGCATCTGCATTAGCTTTTAGCCCAATTCCCAAAACCAAAAAGGGAAAAGCAAATGACCGAAGCAAGATTTTTCCTTACAAAATGCTCATCTGCATAAGCTTTGAGCCCATTTCCTAAAACAAAAAAGGGAAAAGAAAAGAAAATGACAGAAGCAAGATTTTTCTTTTTCTTTACAAAGTTCCCAGCTTTGGGGCGTGTGACGAGCATCTGCATAAGCTTTGAGACCATTCTCAAAACGAGAAAGGGAAAGGACATGACGGTCACCCGCATACTTTACCCCTCTAGATTCACTTGCATTTTAGTCAATATCCAAATTTAACACAGAAAACTCTGTCATTCTCAAAAAGTATTCTAACTCTTTCAAACCCTTGAAAGCAAAAAACTAAACAGTTAACAGGCAATGCCAACAGTGGCCGTCAGAAAAATTGAAAACAGGTAAATAAATAAAGGCAAAAAAAGAAAAAAAAAAAAGAAAAGAAAAAAAAGAGAAGAACATGGTACAATGGGTTACCTGAAAATGACCAGAGCAGATAAATCCAAATCCAAATCCCAAATATAAACAGTATTTTGTTCACACTTTGAACCTCTATTTTTATTTAAAAAAATTTCCTTTGTTTTAATTGGCAAACCTAAAAACAACAACCATCCACAATTCTTGCCCTTAGTCTGGTTCAGATTCACAAAATAATTTATAAAGATTTTTCTCTTTTTTTGAAAAAAAAAAAAGAAAAAAGTTTTTCAGCATTTTCCATTCGTTTCCCACATTGTTATCGAAAACCAAACAGAACCCAATTGAAAAGAACCAAAATGAATGAAATGAGAGCTCAACCCAAGAAATCTAGAGACGAAATAGAGATAATTTCCAGCAATACAATCACGATTGAGGGGAAACCAAAAAAAAAATCTAGAAAGAGAAAGAGGAGAGAGAGTACCCGGCGATGAGGCGGAAACCAGCCTCATAACGCTGCTGATGACGACCAGTGCGGGCCACCAATTCAGACATTTCGCTATCTTCAAAGACCCCTTTTATCATATCATATCTACAAACACTTCACAGAATTACCCTTATTTCCTCGCACCACCAATTTTCTCGAGAAAATGAATTCAAACCCACATTATATTCTCTGGAAAATGTGCTATCTCAGTGCCATCAATCGGTGAGCAAAAACAAACCCATTAAAAAGGAAGAAGAAGATCAGACAAAGGAACTTCGAGATCGAGAGAGGATAGAAGAGAGAGAGAGGTGGGGTCTGGGTTAAGGGCAGCGCATGGATCGGTTTTTGGTTGGGTGGAAAGGGGTCGAGGCAGATTGAAGAGGTCGGTTACAACTTTTTTGACATATGTTAACAACAAACCCACCTTGTGGTTATCGCCCGAATCCATACGGAATTTTGCAACTACATTTTCTGTACTTTTCTTTACTTCTCTTCTTTTCTTTTCTCTCTCTCCAAACAAAAGTTGATTGCATGTGCAATACCCCTAAGCAATGGAGGGTATGTATTTTTTGAAACATGTAAAATTACTAATTTCATTTAATTTTAAGAATTTAAAGACAATAATTTTAAATAAAAATATTAAAATATATAATTTATATCTATCAATCTATATACATTATATAAGGAAAAAAAGATTTTAACTCACAAGTCTTGTAAGAGTTTTAATATCTCAATCTTCACAAGTCTTGTAAGAGCTTTAATATTTCAATTTTAATTTTTTAATTTTTTGATTTAAAAAAAAAATATCAGCATTTATTGATTTCTTTCAACTCACAAGATTTTTTTACTTCTCTTATACTTACTACCACATCCTTTTTAATTTCTCTCATACAGTATGATTAGTAATGAGATTGTTACATTATTTTTATAAAAAAATCTATAAAAAATAATTTGTATATTAAAAAATATCTAAAATAAATATAAATTCTTATTAAAAAATAAAGGTAAAGCATCAATAAATATCAAATTATGAACTTGTGCACCACTTAGTCCAGCTTCTTTTTTGTTGAACTGATAAGTCCTGAAACGTACAAAATGGCACATTTATCCCTCTATCATGCGCGTGTTTACGTTTTAATTTGAGGACAATGTGGGTTTTGTGTATTGTTAAAATTACTTTTAGGGACATAGAGCGCACTATGGGTGTTTATAGGTTTCCCACATTTTGTGATCGAATCTTTGAAACATTGTTAATCCTAATAAGAGGCATATTGGTTTTATTGGTAAATGTTCAAACATTGGTAATCAACAATTCCACATTTGAACATTTCCATGTTGGTGGATTGAAACCCTAAATGTAGGTTTTGGATTTCCGAAAAGAGATTGTACGAATTTCACATTCGTGTTTAGGGAGAAACCCTAATCGGAGGCACATCTAGACGATGCACAACCAGTAGGAGCACGTTGGACTGTGACCGACGAATCTTGGTTTCGTCTTCTCCAGTGATTCGTTTAACAATACCTGACATCAATGTTTGCTACACTATACGCCGCCGATTAAGACATTTTTGAATTTGCAAAAGATGACAATGAAACTCGCTGGTGTACAATTTATGCAACTGAAATTGTTAATTACATTTTGAAATTTTGACTGTGTATTTTGTGTTTTGTATGTTGATTTGGTGTTTTGATGTTGTTTTCACTCATTACTCGAATGTAATACACAACGTGAAGTTAGGGCAAACTTAACGTGTGTTTATTTCAATTGATAGTGTAAATGTAGATGTTAATGTGACATTGGTGTGTGTTTTTATCAATATCAGTCATGGTTGGGGTGTTGGGTGAACGTATTGGGTTTGGGTGTAGCAGATATGTTTTTGTATCGGGTTGTAAATGTTAATAATGCCATGTTTGGGTGATTGATGTGTCGTAGTTGTAATGCAATATCGAAAATGTTTAGTGGTACTTTATCGGTGTGCCAATTCGTAGCGTTGCGAATGTTGATTGTTACACTCAATCGAGTCACATTTGGTGGCACATCAACGTGGTGTTTCTAAGGAAAATGAGATATGTTTGGGTTATTACGAAGGTGTGTAGTTTTGGTTATTGTAGCCGATTAATGTGTTTGATGATGTTGAATGTGTTTCTTTGATATTTGGGTGCTTGGGTAATTGATATAGTCAATGTTGTATCCAATTTGTTTCATAATATGAGCTTTGGGCATAATTTTGCATGTGTGTAATATGTTCGATGGGTTTCATTTGTGGAGTATTGTAACGAGAATAACAGCCCAATGGTATGTGCAATGTTGCATCAGTAGTGGTCCACAAGTACACATTGGCGACGTAACGATACAAAATGCTTGTGCAGGACCTTAGCTGTTGTGCAGTGGTATTTCGATGGCCAGTCAATGCATTTTGTTATGGTTTATGTGACTGTGTCGAATGTGGTGTTGCAGCTTTTGTTTTTTTTTTTTGGGGCATATCTGAGTACGTTGGCATGTTGTTGATCGGCGTAATGCACTATTCACATACTCTGCGTGTGTGAATAGGACATGATAAGAACCCCGAGTGAGGCTTCAAGGGACAAATACCTTGACGCAAATGTGAGGGTTGCGCAATCGCACCAGTTTATTCATTACCCCATTTACTATGACAACCACCGGTCCATCATGGTCAATGATTCAAAAAGTGGGACTTGGAAACACTACAACTCAAGCGTCGTGGAATTCAAGATATGCATTTCACCGAGGCTTTGAAAGTGGTAAGTACATCCGTTGGTGCTCATTTCCATATAGTTGTGCACAACATGAACGAACTTGGAACATGTGAAACAGTGGGTGGGAAATTAAAATCTGGTGTGAATGCAATGGGACTTTGAGTATTTATATGACCAATGTGGTGCGTTGAACCATCAACGAACATGCTGATGTGGTGTGTTAATATTATATGTTGTTTGTGTCATATGTGTCTAAACGTTTAACGTTTTTGGACAAAAACAATCGGTGGTCCAATACCTGAATCAGAATGTGGATAGTGGAACAGCAGCAGACAATAGTACGGCACAAAGTATCGATGGCACGTTGGAGGCAGTGATAGATTGCCCCCTGCAAGAACCTGACACGTAAGTCCCACCAGACCATGACGACATTCCCCACCTTGTTGCGATTAATGACTGCATGATTTGTTTTGAATTTCAGGGCCGAATGTGCAATGATAGTATGTTTCATCATGCGGCAATATGTACATACGGTCGAAATTGACACCACAATAGATGGCCTGACCCCCTCTGTTTACTGGGTAGCAATGGTGAAAACATTTGTGAATGATCCGAAGAGAAGTCTGCGTGCTAGACCATCATGATGCACCTACCGCATGCCGGCTATGTGATACGAACACACACACACATATATATATATTTATTTATTTTGTTAGTTTGATCATTTTTTGACGATGATGGGATTTTGGGCGTGAGTCTCGTTTATTGGTTGTTTTTATTTTTTGTTCAGCATATTAGTACGTTACAAAACGTACTTTGGTACCTGTTTACTGGGTAGCAATGGTGAAAACATTTGTGAATGATCCGAAGAGAAGTCTGCGTGCTAGACCATCATGATGCACCTACCGCATGCCGGCTATGTGATACGAACATACATATATATATATATATATTTATTTTGTTAGTTTGATCGTTTTTTGACGATGATGGGATTTTGGGCGTAAGTCTCGTTTATTGGTTGTTTTTATTTTTTGTTCAGCATATTAGTACGTTACGAAACGTACTTTGGTACGAAACATTTTTGATTATTTACTATTAAACCTTTTACATAATTTAGTTTTTCTTGGAATAAGAATGACATTGTGTTTATTGAAATTGTTATCCACTTCATAACGAACTCGGTAATTCCATTGGGAATTATGTGTGTATGTTATCCACTTCATGACGAACTCGGCAATTCCATTGCGAATTATGTGTGTATGTTTGACTAAAATTATCGACTTTACAAAACATAGTTAGGACCAATGACATCCCCCCAAAACAAGGATGACAATGTTATAATGTGTGGATCACATTTGGCACAGTGCGAAAATATGCAAATTTTATGTCTTGTAATATGTTTGCCTACATAGGTTGTTGTATGTGATTGTGTCGTGTTTAACGATTGATTTTTTTCCGTTTGTTCAAGTCAATGCTATTCACTTCCCAATGACAACAAAACAGATATATTGCCTACAATATGAAATAGGTATGAAGGAAATTAGGCGAATGTGTTACTTCCAAACAGCACAGTTGGAAAAATTAGCTTGTTGAATGTTGGCACATTATGTTTTGCAATGTTGTTGTGAATTGTATTATGCATTATGTGTGGTACCGAACATAAGTTTTTTCCCACTTCTAATGATTGACAAACGTTTGGTAAGTTTAATTACATTACACACGACATATGTTATGAACAAGAGGTTGAAAAACACAAAAATACGGGGGATGGAAGAATACACCACAAACACTCATACACTGAATGGAAGGAACACATCCAAAAAAAAAGAAAAAGAGCTTGAATAGCACAATAGTCGCAAACATGAAACACAGCTTTTATCAACATTGACCATCATACGATATTATTGTAATAACCACATGTGCGAAGTAACAAGTAACAGCAACATACGGTTGAATTGTGGCTGTGCCATTATTGTAGTATATAAAATGAACCGAATGCACAAATGTTAAAATATTTTGAGTGCATGGAATATAATTTGATGTGCGTTATTGCAATGTTAATACATTCAACATACTCTCAAATTAAAAAAAGGACATGCAACCTGAGCAGACATCACCCAATGCACAAAAAAATAAAAATACAAGCAAATAATGTCGTGGCACAATACGCGGCAAGACTAAATCGATTCTTTGCATGTTTTCCTGTTATAGTTACCCATCTTGTCACATCGGCTACACTGAATACATTGCACAACCTCACGTCTTGATGGAATCCTCTTCCGTTTTGGCCTCCTCAGCGGGCTCTTGACAACGTTCGTTTGGCCGTACGTACAAAGCAACAAAATAGCGACCTCCATGCCTACAAACCAAACCAAAGCATCTAGAAACCATCGGAACAACCCCCACATTGCCGTAAACCCCCACTGTCCGGTCGAAACAAAAGACACACACACAGAGTACCCCCCGACTCCACCAACGCATCTAGAAACCATCGGAACAACCCCACCCCATAACCAAAATAAACCATTACACACACCACCCTTCCACACACTTAGCTTGTGAAAAAGAAATGTTAGAATACCGTCGGCACCAGAACCCATAACACACAGCCTCCCTAGGCTATCAAAATCAAACCCACAAACAATAAACCCACTTCAACAACCTAACCAATCCCACCGTAAATCACAGAATCAAGTATATTACAAACGGAAATGTAAAAATACGTTACCAATAATTAACAAAATCCACATCAACCCCAGAATATGCTCAATCTCATAAAACATGATAAATATGTAAACTCCACTAATATG